TGTTTCAAGGTTTTTATACATTCCTGAAAGTAATTTTCCAAAATAAAATGAATATAAATGTACTTTGAGTTTAAAATATTTCAAGCCATATTTGCACTAATACGAGGAGATTGCCCTATACCCAAATGGGGAGGGTTGTGGGTCAGGAGTAACAGAGATGGAGGAGGTGAAACTCATGAGGTCAGTGACATGACTCCCAAAACGTGGATCACAGAGGTATATCAGTTTCTAGGTGTTTGGACCCTTCCCCAGGCCTCCCAGCTGGACACCCAGAAATCTCCATTTTTCCCTCTTTCATTCCCTACATCTAATGAATAGATCTTTACGGGTTCTTTATTTAGAAAAATCTCTTGGGTTCAGCCTTTCCATTCCCATGATCAGGGCAGCAGTTCTGATCTTTATCAGCATGCCTCTGGACTATAATTGCAGTTGAGAAGAAATGGACTAATGCATTTTGACCTTACAATTAATTCCTGCAGCAATCCTGGAAGATTGGAAGTTATCTGAATTTTTTTCAGGTTGTGAAAACTGGCCAAGTTCTTTCAAGTATGTTATATTGCTAAGGAAATGTCCTTGCTCTGAGTCTTTCTTTCCCCGTAATGCATTTTATACAAGAACTAGAGGCCCGGTGCATGAAATTCGTGTACTGGGGGGGGGGGAGAAGAAGGGGTGTCCCTCAGTCCAACCTGCACCCTCTCCAATCTGGGACCCCTTGGACATCCCTCTCACAATCCGGGACTGGTGACTCCTAACCACTCGCCTGCCTGCCTGATTGCCCCTAACCGCTTATGCCTACCAGCCTGATCGCCCCCTAACTGCTCCCCTGCCGGCCTTACTGATGCCTAACTGCTCCCCTGCTGGCCCGAACACCCCCATATGCCCTCCCCTGCTGGCCTGATCACCCCCAACTGCCCTTCCCTGCCAGCCTGACCGCTCCCAACTGCTCTCCCCTGCTGGCCCGATTGCCCCAACTGCCCTCCCCTGCCGGCCTGGTCCCCCCCCCAATTGCTCTCCCCTCCTGGCCTGTTTGGCCCAACTGCCCTCCCCAGCTGGCCTGATCGCCCACACCTGCCCTCCCTGCTGGTCATCTTGTGGCGGCCATCTTGTGATGACGTGAGGGTGTGAGGGCCACCTAGGCTTTTATTTGTATAGAAACCAATATAGTCTCCCTAAAATATAATTGTAATATAATAACTTATTTAATAAAACCTAGAATTATTGATGTAGCACTTTACAAATTACCAGGGATTTTTCATGTTTGAGCTCATTCTACACAAACTCTACCCATGAGATTAATATTATCTCCTATTACGACCTTGTTGAGGTCGTAATGACTTCTATTTCCCATCAAAGCAATCATAAGCTCTTAATTTTTATGACATTCCACATTTTATGCTATGGCTCTGTTTTGCCCCTTTAACCATATATCAATGTCAGCTGGTTTTAGCTTTAGCCAGGTGAACTTCCTTATGGTCCTCTTCAGGTACCATCCTCATTTCCTCCCTAAAGTCTACTCAAAACACAGCACGGCCCCACCTCACCCTCCTTTGCCCACCCTGTTCTCTCATTTAAACTCTAGTCCCGCAGTGCCCACTCCAAGTCCTACCTTTTCAAAGAGGCCTTCCCCAGGAATTTCTGTCTTCCTGTTTTTTCTTCTTGATTTCCTTTGTCACATATGTTTGCCCTTGATTATAATTTAAAGTTCCTCCTACCTATAAAAGTAATATATGCTTTGCCTGGCCGGCATGCCTCAGTGGTTGAGCATCGATCTATGAACCAGTAGGCGCACATGCCCGGGCCGTGGGCTTGATCCCCAGTGTGGGGCATGTTGGAGGCAGCTGATCAGTGATTCCCCCTCATCATTGATGTTTCTATCTCTTTCTCTTCTTTCCTCTCTGAAATCAATAAAGATATATTATTTTTTTAAGGAATATATGCTTCATGTTAAAATATTACATAAGATATTTGAAAGTGAAAAGATAACTTCTGGCTAGCCAATCCTAGTCCGTAGAAGTACCCACCATTGTGTGTCTTTAGAGTTCTGTTTCTGTGCATAAACAGGAGCGTTCATGGATGCATATATGCAGACACACCTGTTTACAGACAGGGAGATAAATGTAAATATATATTTTATGCACAGATACCATCCTGCGGTTTGTTTTTTCACTTGACAATATATCTTGGAATTTTTTCATGTCAGTGAATATAAGGGATTTCATTCAAATATCTCTCTTTATTGCCTCAAATTGTTTCATGTCAAATTATTTCATACATATACATCTAATCTTCCTTCACAAAATGAAAACGGAAACTCTTCAAAGGCAGGACTACTAATCACTTACATATTCATTCTCTTTTCCGTTCCTGTATTCTTTACTCTTTCTGCATTTACTGCATATTTCACATATTTCACATTTGTGCTGTAGGAAATGAAAGATGTTTGCCTTTCATAACCCGTAAGGAGTTAGTATCTAGTGGATAAGAATCTAATTTTATCCACATAACTGTAACACAAGGAAGAAATTGAGAAGTGACACACATTTCTGTTACTGGAAATATGGCTAGGTAGGTTATTTGCTTTTTGTTTTAAAGTATACTTTTATTGATTTCAGAGAGGAAGGCAGAGGGAGAGAGAGATAGAAACATCAATGATGAAAGAGAATCATTGATTGGCTGCCTCCTGCACGCCCCCTACTGGGAATCGAGCCCGAAACCCGGGCATGTGCCCTTGACTGGAATCCATAGGCTGACCACGCTCTATCCAGTGAGCAAAACCAGCTAGGGCTAGGTAGGTTATTTGAACAATCCTCTTGCTGAAAATAATTGGAATTGTTGAATATGTGTAAGAAGATATCCTCAGAGCAACAAAGGGCTGAAAAGAGAAGAAATTAAAGGCCAAACTTGAGGAAAAGTGAGAGTTCAGCAAGGCTTAGAGAGTGGAAGCTGCTTTTGCCTTGAGGGCGTTTGCTGATAATAGGCAAATTTGAACTTTGTCTCATAGCAGTAAAACTCCGCAGAAAACTAGGAAATGGTTACCATAAATTTCAGAATAATGGTTTTGGAGGGGGTGGGTTTCTGTTTCTTAGGTACTCAGAACTTTCTTTTTATTGACCTAGTGGCAGTAGCTATCCAGGGTCATTTATTTTCTAAACTGAGCATATTTATTTTATGCGCTTTTCTATACACGTTATAATTTACAACTAAAAGGACAAGTTATGGGACTATATATCTAGTATCATCCCACACCTGCGTGCATGTGCATGTGTATGTGTGTATTATCTAAACGGGATGTCTAACATAAATTTTACATGTTGATATAATAAATATATAAATTTATGTTTATGTATAAATGTGTGTGTGTGTTTCATACACAGAGAAAAAGGTCAGGAGAGTATTCACAAACTACTGAGGGCAACCTTGAGAGGGAGAAAAGGGTTGGAGAGTAGCAAGGAAGGAACTTACATTTTGTGCTTCAAAATTAACTGTTGTTAGTTTTTTTAAAATAATCATCATTTTTATTTAGTATGTTTTTAAAAATCTGATTTTAAAAAGATGTGGCTTCTGTCTTAGCCCTAAAGCCCTCCTCTAGCATACTCCATTACACTTGGATCAGTACCTTTAAAAAAACACATGTCGTTCCTTTGCTGGTTTATAAGCTCCTAAAGGGAGCAGGATGGTGTCATGTGTATGTTTATATGTCTTGTACTTAGTAAATCCTGGTACACAGTAGAGGGTGTGTAAATACTAGAGGAAAATGAATGAATAAATGTACCTTAAGAAGAACCTAGGGCTGTAGGCATCCAGTAGATACAACATTTCCTTAGAGGTTCTTGTTATATATCTTGAGAATTATTTTGTGCCTGGCACAGCAGTGGGCATAAAGTTGGCACAGTGAATACAGGTTGATTTGAATTTGACGACACTTTGTGGAACCTGTAGGCAAATGTGGAGTCTGCCTTGCAGTGCCCCCTCTGGATCCCAGAAAACAGGAAAGCGAAAATGCTCTCTAAAAATTAAACTGAGAAATGAACACCCTACCTCACAAATTCAATCCAAGAGAGGCAGTGTGATCTTAAGAGACATGAAGACTCCTTGGCAGTAAGACTTGACTATAACCAATTGAGGGTATTGACCTCTTACACACACACACACACACACACACATCAAATCTCCATCAGAAGAGCATTTTCTCTGCCTCCAAAGCAGAGAAAAGCAAAAGCTGTTATTGTAACTGTCACGATACCTTGCAAAGCACTCTCTGACCAACAGCCCCTGCTGGTTGAGGCCTGGCAGGCGGGTAGCCCTGTGTAGAGAGCTGCAGAGCCTTATGCCATTTGCAATGGAATCCTGCAATTGACTCCACTCGCCCGCCTCCATGTGCACCCAGCTTCCCTCTGGCAATTGGCCTTCCCACCACGATAATTCACTCAGGCCAATACAGACATCGTGTACCTGAGTCCTCTGTTATTCACTGTTAATAATAAAGTCACTTTCTTTTGTTTTATACATCAGTGTCTTGTGAGTTTTGTTAGCATGAGTCTGCATTCCTGGGTGCAGTCAGTGAGGAGGGTGTCAGTCTGCAAGGCTCATCAAGGTAGACGCTACCTTGTGGGCATCTGTTGGAGTGGACTGCTGGACTTTCCCGGTGATGCCCATGTGTCCTCCTGCTCCATGCCTCCTGTCCATTCCACACTTCACGAGAAGAAGTCTTCTCAGGAGTAGTGTGTTGAGAACATCTTCATAATGTGCACATTTCAGTTAGATAACCATATATTAACTCGGTGCAATAGATCCTTTTCCTCTGGTGAGTATTATTTGTTTGGCTTTGCAAATTTCACACCTGTATAGATGAATGGAAAATATACTATAGATGCCCTCCAAAAACTCATTTCCCGTTCTGCTTCTTGGCCTCTTGTGGCTTTGCTTCTGCCTCTCATCTCATTGTCAGCCTTGATCCTGGCACCATACTCAGTCACTTCCTAACCTGGTCTCTCTTGCAGCAGGGAAACCTAAAGAAGATGGAGGACACAGTGAGGTCGACAAGATTAAGGATAAGGATGCGAGTAGAGCAGGCAATGAACGAGGTTATAGAATTTTTTCTTCCATTCTCATCTTCCTCTCTTTCCTCAAACAATTGTACTTGAAAGGGTTTCAGATCCCACACACCGCTGCAGAAACAGTAAAGCACACATTCTCAACGACGTGTTCAACTGGTCTGTGAACACGACGGGCCTTGCACCAGATTTCAAGAAATCATTAACATGTCTCCTCGCCAAAAAGGACATCAGAGTAGATAATGGCAAAACCCTCAGTGAATCCTGGAATTTTTTAAAAAATTAACTGTTGCATCAAATAAGTCGACTGTGCAGTGGGATTTTTAATCAGTTTTTCCCCTTTCTCTTCTATTCTTCCTCTTTCACTACAACCTCCAGCCAGAATAACTGACTATTAAATTTCACCATAAATTTACCAGGAATTTACACAGGGTAATCCTCAGTTGTCACTATGATTTGAAATACTCTCTCTTTTATTCATAGATTAGGACCTCACCAAAATTTCAGATAGGATAAGTAAATATAAAATCTTGAAAATACTTCTTTTTTTTTTACAAACTTGGTTCCTAAAAATGATTATTTAAACAATCACAGTTAGGTTCGTTTATACAGCTGGAACTCTGCAGCAAAATAGGATACTGTTGGATTATTAGTATGTCTAATAAGTTGGTGAGGCCTCTATCCCTGTGTCACTGCAGGCTCTCTGTGTAGTGATGTGGGGCTGAATTGCTAGACAGGTGGTTATGGACCATTCTTGATTATTTAGGTGCTGGTTAACCAATCAGTGAATTCTTTAGGCCTTTTGACCAAATTCACCATCGTTTGGCTTTCATTTTCTTGGGGTGAAGAATGATGCTAAGGAGGACAGGGTCCCAGTTTCATCCCCGTGTGAGCAAGTCTCTGGTTTCACACCAGAGACTCTTGGATGTAAAATCACTAGCTACACTGTGGCCTCTGCAGTGGTGGAAGTTAGGCGAGGTAGCATCGAAACACTCAAAACCAAGCCTTGTACCACTGCTGAAGTGCTTACCCTAGCTTAGTGAACTAGTAACAGCTGCCTATGATACAAAAGTTAGCATTTCCTAAAGCAAACTAGGCAGTATAGTATGTTATATGCTGACATAAGGAATTACCAAAAAGGGAAAAATCCTATTCGCTTCCTTCATTAAATGTTTATTTAAGGGTGAGAGGATAAACCATCGTCAACATTTATAAAAAGTACCCACAACTCTCAAAACTACCTGTAATTTTCAGAACTTTCATGCATCTTCTCATTTTACCAAAGTACATGATATTGTCAAGATTCCTGCACATGGGGAAGTCCATAAACTGTGCTCTAAATAAAGACAGAGGAGTAGAAGGAGCCGGAGAAAGATGGTCCCCTGAGAAGCAATGAGTGTTTGCCCCTCTCCCTGCCCCCCCTTTCCCAGCAGCCCAGGCCATGGCCTTCCTCTTTCTTTTTCTCCTGTTGAAGGTCAGAGTCTAGACCGGGATTCACTGGACAGAACTAGAAAGACAACCAGCTTGGTAGCACAGAACTATCCTGCACTTGGGCAGCGTAATGACAAGCTGAAGTTTGCAGTTCTCAAAATTATACAGAGATCTTCAGACACGGGTCCTTCGTGGCGAGGCCCCCCTTTCACCTGCTGGCTGCACAAGGACCCCGTATACAATGGCAGAGTAGACCCAGCTCCTTTTCCCTCTCTGTTCTGTCTTTCTAAATCCTTTTTCTGGCATCATCTGTTTTTCTTTAGTCTTCCTGGAGCCCCCTAACTCCTCTGATTCTTGTCCCTTTTCAATAAAAGGTTTACCATACGTGTTGTTTTCATTAAGTCAATCCCTGTGTGCGTGTCTGTGTGTTATGTGTGTCTGCCTTTTGTTTTTGTTATTTTGTAATACACTTTAGAATGTTCCTTTCTAACCAAATAAATCCCAACAGTAACTTTTAGGATTATGGACTCTTCAGGCAGTCTGAAAACTACCCTCAAAAAATGTATAAACACATCCAATGTTGGGTACAATTTCATGGCGTTCATGTACTCTCAGTACCTATTTATGGATCCCAACTGAGTTTGGAATTCCTGCCCAAGGATGGAATCCCAAAGTTATCTACTTACATGGTCACTGGTGATATCTGAAAACATTCATTCACCAGATATTCATTGAATGTCTACCGTGTGCCAGGAACTACAGGGCACTAGAATGCAGGGAAAAGGACAGTGTAGTTGAGGAGACAGAAAGTATACAGACAGTTACAACACAGAGTAGACACAATGATAGGAGAAGTACAGGAAACCTTGGAGAGCACAGGAGATGAATGTTTAATTCAGCCTTAGGGCAGCAAGAGAGTTACAGATTTGTGTGTTATGTTGAGAAATTTGGATTTGATTTTAAAGGGCCGTAAGTTGAGGAATGATAAGAACTGATCTGTGACTACTGAAAAAGTTAACTCTGACTGTAGCATGGAGAATGGGTTGGGGGAAGCAGGACTGGAGGCTGGGAGACTGGTAGTAAGTCTGGTGACAATAATAGTGATTTTAACCAAAGTACTGACAGTATGATGAAAAGAAGAGGGCGAGTTGGAAGGATATGTACTGGATTGACTGAATCCATTTCTTCAACAAGTATTTGTTGTGCTGCTATATGTCAGACACTTGGTGGGATACGGTGGTAAACTAGGGAGTCACTGTCTTTGTGCTCAGGTCTGGTGAGGAGGACTTGCAGGCTTCTGGAGTGGACAGCTGAGTGGACAATGGTGCCGGCCACCAGAGGTGACTTTGACGTGTCACAGACCAGAGGTTCCGGGCAGAGAAGTGTTTCTTCAATCTACCCCTCCTGAGATTTCAAGATAGCCTTATAGTTGTGAATCGCTGTGTCTAATGAGAGATGTTACTGCTGGGAGAATGTGTCTACGTAAACAGTATTCGGGAATGTAGGTGCCAGTTGGAGCTAGGAAGTGATGCATGGCCCAGAGAGTGTATGTGGATGAGAGAGAGGAGGGCTGAGCCCTGGGCATGACGAAACCATGGAGACAGAGGAGGAACTGACGAGACAGCCAGGACTGTGTAAAGAATGTAAAGCAGGTTCCACGGTGGAGCCGGTGGAGCAGGCGGGAGGGTTACCGTGGCAGCAGCAGGCAGCCTCAGGTGTACCGGAGGGGCCTCTGGTTCGAGACGATGCCCTGGGCTTACATATTAAACTTCACACATTCACCACCATCTCAGCTGAAGGGAGTCGTGACTCTTCTCATCGAAGGGCTCAGGGTGGTCAGCAGAAACTACTGAAAGAATTTATGCCATGGGAATTACATCTCAATAAAGCTGTTGTTAAATAAAGAGAATAATGAGGAAAATTCACTCTTAAACACATCCTAGCAAATTGTCATTTCAAAAATGAATTAATTATAAGCATCCAGATGTGGGGATGGGGTGGGGTGCAGTGAGGGAGATGTTATGCACCAGAGGAGAGTAAGTTTGTATCTAGTCACTTAGTAGCACTCTGTGAAAACAGTGGCTCATCGCCTTAGCCCTCAGAGAGGAAAGGGTGGTTACTCAGATTTCACAGCCAGATGAGGCGTCTTTTCTTGAAAGGGCAACAAAAACATTCTCTTTGACATTGAATGACTCTCAAAATATCCCGCTCTTGTGTTTGCCCTAAGAAAAAAAAATATATATGCAAGGACATCCTAACAAGTAATAAGAATAAAGAACCCAGTAAGGGAAAGAAATTGTAAATAGAGTATTTTTAAGTAGTATGGAATTAATAGTGAATAACAGTTGTTAATATAGTAGTAAGCCAGACGCTAATAACTCCTCAAAAAAGAATAATGTAACAGACTAACAATAATAGGGATCTGTGATCAGTAAGTGTTTCAACAGTTTGGCAGAAGGAAGGTGGAAGAGCACAAGGAAACTCCAAAATGCTGGTGTATTATTGGTGCCAGTAAGGAAGGCAGGATAAAGAAAGTGTAAGTGTAAGCAGTGCTAGTGTAGAAATAGGATGAATAACTCCCCCACCAATTGACTAAGAGTTGGGGAGAGGACTTCTTAGCCAAACTGGCAAAAATAGAATTAAAAGAAAGGTTTTTTCTCCCTAAAGTACAAAGTCTAGACATACTAATTTTTCTTTTTCTTGTAAGTTAAGAACACTTTCACTTAAAACTACATATGTGAAATTTTAAGTCAAATACTAACAATGAAATCTGGTAGCATATTGCAAGAATCGTAAACCTGATCAGTTCAGATTTGTTTCAGTAATGTAGCATGTGTTTATCATTAGAAAACCAATACTATGGTGATCACATTGATAGATCAAAGGAGGAAAGCCTTTGTCAGCCATTTATTCCTGTGAGCCAAGCATCACCCTGGTGGGCCAGCGGTTGAACTGGAGCAACCAAGTCCCTTTCTTTGTGATACTTAAGGGAGAACATTAAGAAATAGACAGCTAGCGTAATAATCACATATACGATTTTGTTGTATGATAGATTTTCAAATCAGTGGGGAAAAGTTGGTTTATTCAAGAAATTATTTTGGAACCATTGGCTAATGTTTTAGTGACTCTTAACCCAAAATTTATACATTAAAATACATTCCAGATGAATTAAAGATTTTATTGTTAAAAGTTGAAACTGAATATGAGGAGCTATAATCAGAGAATACTTGCATTACCTCATGTTCTGTTAGAACTTTTCAGTCATGGCAGAAGGGGGAGTTCTTGGAAAGATTTGAGCTAAAGCATAATGTTGCTCAGTTTCTGAGATGATAAGGACAAAAGCAAGGGCTTCAAACTTACAGACAGTCCACGAAGCATAACATGTTTGGAAGATGTATTAGAAGGTTACAGAGAACTGAAACTTCAAGGGGTAAAACCCAACGTCATTACCTGACACATCAAAGTTTGCAGCCAAAGTCCAGCTGTGCTATTAAGACTCATGGACATTTTCCCAGTGGTTCCTGCAACCTAGATGTTCTGATGCTTATCTGCCTCATGTAGTACTTAAAACACGTCTGAAGTGGGTACAGATAGTATTTTACGTATCTTACTGGTAAAGATAGAGCAGAACGGTCTCAGTACTTGCCTGAGGGCACCCAGCTAATAAGTAATTGGCAGAGCCAAGTTCAAACCCTGTCTAGTGCCCCCTCGGCTCTCCTGGCCAATGGGCTGTACTGAACATGGCTGCTAACTCTGACTAGTTCTAAAGTTCTCAAGAAGCAGGTTCCTGCAGGTGAATTCAGGGAGGGGAAATTTTAACTTAATTTGTCTGAATAATAAGTTTGGATGATAGCTTATCAACTCACAGCTGGAAAGTCCACTTGGAGTTGTGAGGAATCCTCTTCTCACCTCCATCCTGTGTTTGCCAGATCTTCGTGGGGAGTGTCTGGAACTCAAATGTCATTCAGTTGCCAGGATTACTTCCAGAAAATCACTTTGAAGTATTTTTGAGCTAAATATTTCCCTGTTTACTCCAAAACAAATGAGCGGTCTTCGAATGCCACCTTTGTCGTCAGCCTGCATTTATGAGGCTGGTTTTTCTCCGCTTGTGACTGGGCGGGCAAAGCAGTTTGATCAGCACGGCCCCCACCGAGTTCTCTTCCCCCACCATGCAGGTTAGAAGGCGGAGGCCATCGAGCAAGAATGCTCAGTGTTGATGGTCATCAGAGTTTTTAAGCAAAAAATTTCCCAAATCTACCATTTTCATATTTTACGTTCACAATATTTATCTCTTATTTTAAACATTAAAGGCAGGCTTGAGATTTTTTTAAATATTTCAAGGTGACATGAACTTTTAAAAACATTGAGGGGCATTGTTCTGTGTGTTTGCTTATTGGTATGGAAAGGTAAAGATGCACACAGTGTGTTTTTCAAAAACGCATATCCTCCACCCTCTTGGATTCTCTAGCCCTCTATTTTTTTTTTAAATTAATATGAAGAGGATTGAAATACTGATACTATTGAGTTTCTCTCTATTTACCCCTCTGTTTTTAAAAATGAGTTTGGTGTATCTCTGTTAACATAGCTATGGAAATACTTGTAGCCTAGCTTGGCCGGTATAGCCCAGCTGTTGAGCATCGACCCAGGACCAAGAGGTCACCAGTTCAATTACAGGTCAGGGCACATGCCAGTGTTTCGGGCTCAATCCCCTGTGGGGGGCCTACAGGAGGCAGCCGATCAGAGATATTTCTCTGATGTTTCTATCTCTCTACCCCACTCTCCCTTCCTTTTTCGCTAAAGAAATAAATAAAAACATATTTTTAAAAAGAAATATTTGTAGCCTAAAATCCTATTATTTTTTATTGTAAGTGAACATTTATTAACTAAAATAATCTACTTTTACTTGTTTCACTTTTATTCTCATGAATTCAGGTTTGTCTGAAGTTATTGTAGCTATAATTTCTTCTGATTCTCATTTATTTTGTCATTTCTTTTCCAGCCATTTAGTCTACATGTAGTAAATGTTTATGTATATGTATTATAATAAAACAGCATGTTTAATATGATCTATTTTTATAAAATAGATTTAAATCTATGATATGCCATATGGGAAATTATCTAAAAGGGTATTATATACACAGCTATTGATAGTAGTTGGTTATCTTTGATGGTGGGACTACCAGTGGTTTAAATGTTTATTTATGTGTATATTCAAAGTTTTTATAGTAAAAGTGTATTATTTCCATAATAAAAAAGTGTAAGTAATTACAAAGAGAATAAGGCAGTCGGCTGCAGGACAAAGTAGACAAATGTCAGTAGCTGTCTTATTTACATACCAGCCGTACCCACTGGGAAGTGTAGTTGGGGTGGGGAACAAAATGAGCAAACACGCCCTGACCGGTTTGG